CAGAGGATCATTGTCAGTTGAACAGAATGTCAGTATCAATGTTACAGAGTGTCATTAACAGTATTGCAGACTGTCACTATTACAGAGTGTCAGTGTCAGTGTAACACAGTGTCAGTGTTACAGAGGATCAGGTGCCTGTGTAATGTCCAAGAATCTGATCCCAGATGAGTGAAGTCGTGAGCATTTTGCTGCTGGCTGGTGGGAACGAGGGGCCCTGACAGGTTTGGGATATACAGAGTGTGAAGGAAAGCACTTAGCTGCTGTTACCTTTATGTGCCTGACTTTAGTCCATATTTGCTAACTGCTGGTTAGTGAAGATGGCGAAATGTTAATTGCAGTAATTAGTGTCACTTTAAGTCACTTTTCTAACGCTGGGTAATCAATACGGGAATGAATGAGGCTTTTAGTTTCTCCTGATTGTTCCCGAGGGCTGCGGGGATGTATTCCGAAGTGTTGGAAGAGCGGTCTCACTGTAGTGAGCTCTGTTCCCAGGTTGGCTGTACCATTTGAGGGGAGGGGATGTCCTCACTACATATAGACCGCCTCAGCTCCCTTGCTCACCGGCTTCCTGATGGAGCAGTGGTCCATCTTGGCGAAAATGTTTGAGGCAGATCTCTGCACCGGGAGAAGCAACGGCCGAGAATTCAGTCTGGGGTCACCAGTCACTAATCCCCATCTCCACTACAACCCCCACAGTTACCCACAGGACCAGCAGGAGGCACTGCGTCTATGTGGTAAGAGTCTGGACATCATGACAACAGACGTTGTGATGCCTGACCGTGTTTCAATAGCGACTGTTCCTACAATCTGACTGTTTCTGCACCGACTGTAGGACAGAGATGTTGTCTGTGAACATGTGAACTAAAATGAGCACTGGGTTATGAGCAATAGAACAGGAGTGATGGGACCGTGAGTGAGTCTCGTGTCATGTAATGTAAGAAAGGATCAAGTTTTTTGACAATTTGTTGAACTTCTTGAGTGTTGTTGGGTTCTGCACCCATCCAGGCAAGTGGGGAGTATTCCATCACACTCCTGACTTGTGCCTTGTAGATGGTGGTCAAGCTTTGGGGAATCAGGAGGTGAGTTACTCACCACAGTATTCCCAGCTTCTGACCTGTTCTTGTAGCCACTGTGTTAATGTGGTGAGTCCAGTTGAGTTTCTGGTCAATGGTAACCCCCAGTATGTTGATAGTGGGTGATGTTAACACCATTGAATGCCAAGGAGTGGTGGTTAGATTGTCTCTTATATATGATGGTCATAGCCTGGCATTTATATGGCGTAAATGTAACTTGCCACCTGTTAGCCCAAACCTGGATATTGTCCAGATCTTGTTGCATTTGAACACGGACTGCTTCAGTATATGAGGAGTTGCGAATGGTGCTGAAGATTGTGTAGTCATTGGTAAACATCCCCACTTCTGACCTTGTGATGGAGGGAAGGTCATTGATAAAGCAGCTGAAGATGGTTGGGTCTTGGACACTGCCCTGAGGAACTCCTGCAGAGATGTCCTGGAGCTGAGATGACTGACGTCCAACAACCACAACCGTCTTCTGACGTGTCAGGTATGACTCCAACCACCGGAGATTTTGCTCCCTGATGCCGATCGATTGCTTGGGGTCCTTGATGCCACACTCGGTCGAATGCAGCCGTGATGTCAGGGGAAGCCCATCTAAGGGCTCAATGAGGAGTGAATGAGGGAGAGGTTGGGGATAATGTTGTAGTACAGTGTGGAGACCAATCAATGTGGTGTTAGTGGTGGAGGGCTGTTTTAGGAATGATTGACAGACCCTACACTGCTGGGCTGTAAACAGGAAATTGGAGCAGTTCATGCCCCTTGAACCAGCTCCACCGAATGACAATATCAGCCCCATCAATCCCAGCACCCTATAATCTCCTTCACTCCCTGAGCAACCACCAACCTGTTGATTAAATCTACTCAATGATGGAGCATCCACAACTTGCTGGGGAAAGAGGGGTTTCTGAAAACAGTTCTTCAAGCATAGACCTTCCCCCTTATCCCTGTCATAGAATCCCTACAGTGTGGATGCAGGCCATTCGGCCCATTGAGTCCACACTGACCCTCTGAAGAGCATCCCACCCAGTCCCACCTCCTACCCCTATCCCTGTAATCCTGCATTTCCCATGGCCAATCCACCCTAACCTGCACATCTCTGGACTGTGGGAGGAAACCCACGCAGACACAGGGAGAATGTGCAAACTCCACACAGACAGTCACCCAAGGGTGGAATCGAACCCAGGTCCCTGGCGCCGTGAGGCAGCAGCACTAACCACTGAGCCACACACATCGGGTTCTGATGCTCTGAAGAAGTGTCCTCACATAGTCTGCAAGACCTGCTGAGCTTTCCTAGCAATTTCTGGTTTTGTTTCTGATTTCTAGCATCTGCAGTTCTTTTTGTTTAAGATCAGATTTGTTGTCCTGATGCAGGAAGTGTTGTGGAGTTTAACGTCGCTGCTGGATCTCTGAGTGTGTTGAGGTGGTAGTGATTAATGCCCAGCTCTCTCTCTCTCTCTCTCTGTCTCTCTCTCTATTTCCGACAGATTATGAGCTCCCTCCCCCATGTCACTATGATCACACGTACCACTCCTTTGATGGGACGCTCGTCCACACAACCCCACCTCCCCAGAAGCTCCGGACCCCCAGCTCCGGCAGCAGAGTACAGTTACTCCTCGAGAACAGGTCCCTGTGGCAGCAGTTCCACCGTCTGGGAAATGAGATGATCATTACTAAGTTTGGAAGGTGAGGTGTCTGCTCTTTGTTCTTTTGCCATTGTACACTAGTCTGGGAACTGCCTGGGCACTGACGTCAATTGGCCGAGCAATTCCCCAAAACACCCCGGGTGCTGTTATTCAAAGCTCACGTTATCACAGAGGAGGGGTCTTTGGTGTGTGACACACTAACCCAGATCCCAGTGAACTGGATTAGAGTTATAGAGATATACAGCACGGAATCAGACCCTTCGGCACAACTCTCCCATGCTGATCAGATATACTGAAATAGTCCTATTTCCCAGCTTTTGGCCCATTTCCTTTTAAACCTGTCTTATCCATATACCCATCCGGATTCCTGTTAAATGTTGTAATTGTACCAGCCTCCACCACTTCCTCTGGCAGCTCATTCCATACTCGCACCACCCTCTGTGTGAAAAAGTTGCCCCTCAGGTCCTGACCTGCTGAATTGAATTTCACATTTTTGTTTATTCACTCATGAGATTTCTTGCCTGTCCCTAGTTGCCCCCTTGAGGAGGTGATGGTGAGCTGCCATCTCGAACCGCTGCAGTCCATGTGCCAGGTTCGCTCAGTTTGTGACTGTATTGTCAAACTTTTCTCATTCTATCTGTTTACACTCACTTCACAGTTTAACATTTTGTACTGTCACACCAACAACCATCGATCAATACAGTCAGAACTGAGAGAAAGATGAACTTGCATTTGCATAGCACCTTTCCTGACCTGCAGGGTGTCTCAGCTGATGACGTCCCTGCGAAGAGCAGTTGTAGGAAACGCAGCTGTTCGTTTAGGCACAGGAAGCTCCCGCAGTAGAACAGGATAATGATCCTCATCTGTTACGTCAATCTCGCTGTTAGCACTCCTCACGGTTTTCGGATAGTTATAGAGTCAGAGAAGCTGGCAGCACAGGAAAAGGCCAATCAGACAGGTGCGTCTGCTCAGGGTCTGTGAGATGGCGGTCATGTTTACATCCATGGCCCCAGTGTTTGTCAATGACCCTCTAAGTGTCTCATCCTCAAGTATTTATCCAACTCCTGCTCCTAAGAGGAAGTGTCACTGGACCCAAAACATTAACTCTGATTTTTCCTTCACAGATGCTGCCAGACCTGCTGAGCTTTTCCAGCAACTTCTGTTTCTGTTCCTGCTCCTAAATGTTTTCACCATTCAGCTACCTCTGACATTTCAAGGAAAACATTCCTGATCCAGAACTGAGTGAAATAATTCTATCTGGCCTCTAAACCTTTTGAAATGATTGGGACTCAATGAGTTTGAGTTATGGACACACTCACCAGTGAGAACAGTTTCTCTGTTCTATCAAAACTGCTCATCCTGAAAACCTTGACTTGGTCACCTTTTAACCTTTGCTATTGCATGGAGTCTGGAGCAGAGTTCTAATCTTTCCTATCTGTCCTCATAATTAAAGTCCATCATTCCTGGTAACATTCCAGTAAATTTCCTCTACACACATGCTACAATCTTTACATCTGTCCTGAAGATTGGTGTGTGTGTGTGTATGTGAGAGTGTGTGTGCGTGAGAGTGTGTGTGTGTGTGTGTGTATGTGAGAGAGAGAGAGTGTGTGAGAGTGTGTGTGTGTGAGTGAGAATGAGTGACTGTGTGAGTAAGTGTGTGAGTGTGAATGCATGTGTGTATGTGTGAGAGAGTATCTTTGTGTGTGTGAGTGAGAGTGTGAGTGTGAGTATGAGTGTGTGAGTGTGAATATGAGTGAGTGAGTGTGTGAGTGTGAGTGTGAGTGAGTGTGAGCGAGTTGATTCAGGCCCCGAGCAGAGGGACCCTGTGCTGACCGGGGATGTAGAGTCTCAGCGTGTGTGTTGTTGAGGCTCTCTGAGGGTTTCAGGGTAAGGTCACTGAAGCTGATGCTGATTGTGTTGAGAGTTGAGGCGGCTCAGAGACAGGAGCTCCCAGTATCCTGAGAAACTGAGAGGAATCAACAGTGAGAACTGTTGGGAGCTGTATACTGACCGTGTACTGGCCATGCTAACTGAGTGTGGTGTGGGTCTTTCTATTACAGGCGGACCTTCCCTCAGTGCTCTGTGAGTGTGACAGGCCTGGATCCCCATGCCCAGTACATGATGCTGATGGATGTGGTCCCAGTCGATAACATCCGGTACAAATGGCAGGCCAAGAGCTGGGAGGCTGGAGGGAAAGCAGAACCCCATCTCCCCCAGCGTTTCTACATCCACCCGGATTCCCCGAGCCTGGGATCGTCCTGGATGAGCAAAACCATCTCCTTCCACAAGCTCAAGCTGACCAACAATCCCATTGACCAACAGGGACATGTACGTACATCGGCAAGCACCCAGCTCAGCCGAGGGAGACCCTGTTTCAGACAACGTCCAGCAGGCTGCACCCCTCACTCACCCTCAGCAAGAGCATCTCACTCACATTGAGGCTTCCCCTCAGCCAGAGAGTTTCCCTCAACTTGAGACTCTCCCTCAGCAAAAGGCTGTCCCTCAGCAAAAGGCTGTCCCTCATTGAGAGACTGTCCCTCAGTGAGAGACTCTCCCTCAGTGCGATGCTGTCCCTCAGTGAGATACTATCCCTCAGTGAGAGACTGTCCCTCAGTGAG